CCTGATGGAACATAGGGCTTCGGTATCACGTCTCCAGTGCACTCTGTTCTCTGGAACCTTTTGAACTGGTTCCACGACAGTCCATAAGCTCTCATTTCTTCCTCGCACGATCTCCTCCATGTCACCCTCACCTGGGACACCCAACTCGTCGCTTCCCATCTGGGTTGACTGCCATTCTATACTCTGTTCTATGATGATGCGAAGCGTTGCAATTTGGTCCGCACATGATTTGTACTTCCTGAATCCAGCCTGTTCGGGTCGCAGTTTTTAATCCAGAGCATCTTTGAGTCTCTCCAGGACGATGTGGCTTAATATTTTGCTTGCTTAGGGTGGATAGGAGAGTGATTCCGCGCCCGTTCTTGCAAACACTTAGGTCGCCCTTCTTCGGGAGTTTGAAGAGGTAGCCCTTCTTCCAATCTGCAGGTACCTTCCCTTCCTTCCAGACCTTCTGCAATAGTGGTGTGAGCGTGTCTGCTGTTGTCTCTGCGTTTGTTCTCAGTGCTTCTAGTGGGATTCCATCTGGTCCTCCTACTTCCCCGTATTTCAACAGCTTTATGGCGCTCAGGACTTGTGCTTTTGTTGGAGGCCCTGTGTTCACTTGTAGTTCTGTGTCTGCAGGTGGTGGTGGTGGTTGACTCAACAGCTTTTTGAAGTGGTCGGCCCATCGTTTCCTTTGGTTCTCCTCTTTGGTAGTTAAATTTCCCTCATCATCTTTTATTGGTTTCATATAGGTTGATCTGTTCACAGAGAGTAACCTGATTATTTGATACAATGTTGCCAGATCTCTATCTCTCCTACCTGCAGCAGCCTGTTCTGCTTCACTAGCCAGTGTCGCAGAAGTGTCTTTTGTCTTTGCATGCACTCTTCTTCACTTTTTTGTCCAGTGTAGTGTTCTATACGTTGTACTCAGATCCTCTTCTCGCCGTTCATCCTTGCACTGCATTGGTTTATCTTCTGCTTCACCATCCTCCTCTCCCTGCTCTATCAGCTTCCATGTGTCCATCGAGATCCATTCCTTATCTTCTTTCTTCTTCCTTCCTAATAGGGTTATGCAGGTTTCTTCCCACATCTCTTTCAGAGAGCTCCAGTGTTCTTCCACGCCCGATCCTTAAGCAGTGTTGCTCAATGTCTCCCATTTTGTCTTGATGGCTGACCTGGAGATGTCCTTTGTAGTTTTATCCTTCAGTTTCTGTTCTGGGCGTTGAACTTGAACTGTGGTCTATCACCAGCTTCTTTGAAGGCATCCAACTTGATTTTGAAGGTTCCTTGCACTATATAGTGTGTGGTCTCAACCTACATCTGCTCCTCTTCTTGACCTTGTGTCAAGTAGGCTGCGTCTCCACTTCTTTGAGATTGAGATGAAGTCGACCTGATTTTCAGTGTAGTGTGTCCATCTGCTGAAGTCCATGTCGCTCGCGTTGTGAATATCCTTGTGTTTGTACACACTGCCTGCAATCCCCAAATCATTAAATGTGCAGTAGTCTGCAAACAGTTCTCCATTCTCATTCGTTTCGCCACGTGCCTCTCGACCCATGGTTACTTCTTTTCCTGTGTTGTCTGCTCCCAGTTTGGCATTGATGTCGCCAACTGAGGTCTTGTCCGGCGTTGATTACAGTTGTCTGCAGAATTCCTCCTCCTTCTCTTCATCTGCATTACTTGTAGGTGTATAGCGTGGCATTGTATGATTGTGACCTTCCTTCCTTTTGAGTTGAACCTTGCTGTTATGATCCTGGAGGAGATTGGTTCGCACTGCATGGGAGCCTTCGATGCTCTTGGAGACATCATGACAGCCATTCCAAAACTCAGTGTGCTTGTGGCTGTCGTCTGGGTGACAATATCTGAGTAGATTATTGACTCTCCACTTAAGAGTTTGGAGAGTCCACTCCCATCCCATGTGCTTTCGCAGGTTCCTAGCACTTCAATGTGATACCTTCTCACCTCGTTTGCAATCTGGGCTGCCTTGCTGGGTTCAAACATGATGCGGACATTCCATGTCCCCATCCTTACTTTCGCTTTCATCGAGAGAAGAGGAGACACATCGGCCAATTGGCTTCCCAAAGGCTTTCACCAACCGACGTCATTTCGTCTCCCCGATTCCAGTGAGGAATAAGTTTGTTTTTATGTTTTATATTTACTTTGTGCTTTGAAGTTTCTTTAGCGACTAGATTGGTTTTACGGTGTAGAGTTGCTAGCCCTACGCCAAAGCTTCCCCCTTTACCCGGGCTTAGGACCGGCTAGTAACTAGTAAACTAGTTAACCAGGCGAGGTTTCATGGACTGACATCAGTTGGGGTACCATTGAGAATCTGGGAGCACTGGACAGCTGTTTCGTTTGACTGTCATTAGAAGTTTTGGTTGCATTGTTATGAATACATACATACTCTAGGCTGTTAATATTAGGCTAAACAACTGGACGATTCCAACAAAATCCAGCTTATTATACATATTTGAAGTGTAAAGTTTAAAAGCCAAATAAAAACTGAGTAAACCATAACAATTGAATTTCTGAAAAGGTACAGACTTGATTGAATGGTCATACAGACAAAATAACAAGCTCAGAACGAAAGACACCTTTCAGTGAAACTATTCTAAAGCCAGACAGAAAGACAAACAAAATCAACGTAGAATCTTGCACAAAAGTACATGGACTCAAGTTGTCACACTTTACAAAGAACTAATGGGAAGAAGAAGAGACAAAGTTGTGAGAGGATAAAAAATTTCAGAATGCAGGTTAGCGCAAATATTCAAGCTGTAGAAGACATCAGATAGTGAACAAACCAACCCCATTGTGATCAATTTTCAGCCATATCACCAACAGTCCCCAACCACTGATTCCTATCATCTTAAGGACCCCAGCCAGGTAGTCTACATCCCCCAACGCGGCTAAGGGCAACAGACAGGGACTTCATCGACTAGTGCCACCTGAACCCACTTCCAACCTAATCTAACTCACCCTAGCACGGCATGCCGAGGTGGGTGGTGGCTGTTTGTAAGCCATACAACCATACATATATGATATTTAAAGACGGCAGACCATAAGGAAATTTAAATGATGCACTGTGGGAATGACAATTATGGTGATTATAGTTATAATAGTATCGCTAGTTGAAGATTTAGCAGTTGAATTAAAACGAAAAGAGACAGTCGCTGGTTAAGACAGAAGATGGGAGAACACAAATTTATAAGCCACTGGTTTAACCAACAACATGCGACAAAAATACATACAATCAATCCAAACAATCAGTATCAACATAGGATCAGGCATTAGTGCTTAACGTTCCAAGTTACTACACCTGATTTCAGCACAAAAGTGACAAAGTAGTAAGATGAAAGATGAAGAATGAATGAGGAAATGCCGAATTCAGCATAGCAGTTAAGATGAGGATATAGTTTGGATAAATTTGTGCCAATGATACCGATTCTGAGCCATATCGTTTAGAGTCTCCAATCCCTGGTTTCTGTTACGTGGACCCCAACAAGCCAGTGTGCATCTCCCAACATGGCTGAAGCCAATAGTCAAAGATTTCACAAAATAACGCCATGTTTTAGTCTGCCGCTCCGATCCTTTTTCCAGCTTGAACACACTTCAGCGAACATTGCGCGACGAGGCAGGCGAGGATTAGGTATGCGTAGCACATTTCTCAGCCACAATACTTATAACATTGATAAAAATATTCATCATAGTGATGATCTGAATAATCCGACTATAAATAACTCGATTTATCTTACCAATAATGAAATTCAATAAAAGCAATTACAGACAAATGAACTTTCTATTTATTTAATGATAACAATGCAGTAGATTTCACTGGAAATAACTGTATTGAATTTGAGGGGTTTGTGGGGATTTAGAGATATTTCAAGTTGTTATTCATCGTAAACTGACATCAATTGGGGGAACATTGAGAATCTGGGCGCACTGGACAGCTGTTTCGTCCTGGTATGGGACTACTCAACAGTGTGCACCCACGACCCCGTCAGGGATCAAACCCTCGACCTTCAGGTTCCCTGGTGAGCAACGTTACCACTGAACCAATGGGTCGGAATCCGATGGTCCATATTCCCAACTTCTATCACTTCACAATATAGCGCGACCGCCACCAAGTGTTATCGTTGAGTATTTGTCCTCACGGCCACCAGGTTTGCCTGTATTTCCGAACAAACGCGTACTACTTACTATTGGTGGCAAAGGAGATTGGAGGTCCTAAATATTCTGCTTAACAAGGATTGATTCTTAGTAACTAGATGAGACCGTCACTGATAATAAAGTCATTGAACAACCGTTAACCATGATGAATCTCGGCGAGTGTAGACTTCCAGATAGGGGGGTTCACATAACAACCAAAATAGGTGGTTAGAGGTAACCCTAGGTGACATGTTTCAGAATCAATCTTACTGGTGCAGCTGCATCCACACATTATCTTAATCTTAATCGCTTTAAGTAATTTCGTTAATATTTTAACCCTTTCTCGTCTCATTTTACGACTTTGTACTACTTTTGATTATTTACTTCCAGATTTACTTACCTTTTATTTTGGCGCCTTCAACCGTAATGTGCTGTTATGATGTACGGCAACTCTAACCTTTACGCAGTAATGTCAAGTCGCACGTTGATACTGATTCATACGTATGACTTACAGATATGCAACTTAACATCATATGCCAGTGAATTTTTCACAACCAATGAGGCGTAAAACCAACTTTCTCCATACTTTAGTTGGTCACCACTGTGGTAACCCAAGAAGCTGTCTAGCCATTAGTGCTTGGCACTGATGAAAATCTATCCATCAAGTTTTGCAGTGTAATGTTGAATACATTTTATTACTGTTTCAGCAGAAAACAAGACTTCGCCTACACATCGATTTTTTCTGTGTGAACCATGGATATATCAGATGTAAAATTATCTCATTTTAGTGGAAGTGCATCCATACTACTAAAATTCCACGAATTGCACAAAGGTTTTTAGATAATTAACTTCTAATGTACAAAATCTAACCTTACCGCATCATATTGTGCAAATTCATCTCGCTCTTCCTGTGAACAACTTCGTCCAATCGGACAAATATTTATTAAACCATTTCTAAATTCAATAAAATTTCCTCTTTTCTTCGGAAGCCGAAGATTCGACATATAGTGCAGAGCGAAATTGATTAAATCCTGAAGAATATCTTCGCCGACATATTCGACAATATTCTGAAGTAAGATTTTGTTAAGGAATATTGATACACATACTGTACTGTTTACATGACGTCCATGCCTATGAACCACTAAACCGTTTTCAGAGAAGACATACGAAAATTTATCTACAGCTTTATACTTAGATTAGAAATGCTAAAAATTAACATTCTTACCAGTTTGACCGATTTGCCAAGAAACTTTAGGAAAATCAGAACCACTAACAACAGCCAGAGGTATCTTAGAAGATAATTTAAGTAGGCACTCGAGCATACAGTCTGTTATAATATTTCGCGGTTTTGTCAACGTCCCATCAACATCAAAGAGACAAACAACACTGTCGTTCATACTGGTGGCATAAATACTAAAAGAGAGGAAAGTACACTAATTATAGAATTTTAAGGAAGGCAAATAAGAAAATTTTAAATTTATTTAGCACAACAAAGTTCTACTAGAACTATTCAATTAGGCTTACTACCGAGTTCACTGCTCATTGAAGACGAAAAACGGAAAATAACCATTATTGTGCATCTAGGTGGTTTGATTTTGCCTCGTTGATGTGATTGGTTGGTTTTTTAGAGCTGTAGTTTCTTGGCCTACACAAAAGGCTTTCAACCAGTTAGCCCCACTTAAAAAGATATAGGAAGCCAGATAGTATAATCAACCCCCACACAAAAGGTGGCTCACTGCCTAGTGCATGAACCTGCACACGGTTACTGCGTTGCATGATTATGATACAAATTACCCAACTCAGTTTCTCAAAGTGATTTAAATTATTGAATAACGATCTCCATTAGATCTAAACACGTATTCCAGACCTCAGATCTATTCATATGATGTTGCTAACTGAATGTGATCACACATAGCAGTGGTCGAACACTGAGTCGTCAAAGATTCTCAGCGTTTTCAACTCTTATTAATGAAACCCCTAAACCTACCGGTCTGGTGATAATCGGTCGATATCTCGTCTCAGAAAAATGTCAACTTAGATCAAAGCAGCTAGGTTTAAAGCAGGATCTCCTGTGTTGAAGCGTTGTATCATAGATTTTTGGTGACCAGACTACTGTTGTAAGCCAGAGGTGAATTTAGTTGCAGTACTCTATTCTCACTTTCAGATACATTATAGGAAACCTCGCCAGTCAAAGCATTATCAGTGTTCACGCATTTATTCAGATACATGGAATTTTCAACTACTTCCCATGATTCGCTCTTAAATGTGATTGCATCTACCTGCACCCACGATATTACTTCGCCATTCGATGGTACAAAGTTAACACGTTGCTTACAGATACTGATTGCAAACTGATAAGTACTATTTTAATTGTCTGTATGTTACCTCCCAGTAAAACGATATTGTCCGCATACTTAAAGCCAAAAGACAGACAAGATCAACATATAACGAGGCATTACTTAGTAGTGATTCCCGTTGCCACACCTAACATCACCACATCAAACGACAAAGCATTAAGATGAAAGGTGAAGAGGTAGAGAAGATAGCAGTCAAAAGTGTTAGAAAGTCGTGATAAGATAACAAGTTAGAATAAGAAAGTACTGAATTCAGTATACCGATTAAGATTAGCATAATGTATGAACGCACCAGCGCCAATGAGAGTGATTCCAAGCCATTTCACCTACTCTTCAACCACTGGTTTCTTTTGTCACGCAGACCCCAATAGAGAAGCCTACATTATTTTACGACTCAGACCAACAACTAAATGTTTCATCATCGACTGATATCCCATTTCAGTTTGGCCACCACTAACCGTTTTGAGGCCTAAACCTACTTCACATAACTGCGCGATGAAGCACACGGTGACTAGGCATACCTAACACACGTCCCAGCCCTTGAGTCAACGAAGATTCACAACCACACCAACTGATTTGCCTCTCCTCCCTAAAACTCTATACTTGACTTCTACATTACCGAAGCGGTGAAACCACTACAAATTGCTACTCAATGTATCCAGAAAACTCTGCATTTTGTCACTGACTTCAGGTAACAGGAGTATGTCATCTGCGTAATCTAAATTTACCAAAGATTCTGCTGTGATTGGATGAACTTCTGTGGAGTTAGACGACGAGACCTCCGGAAGAGCGTCTATATTAAAGGTGAGTAAAAATGGAGAGAGTGGACATACAACTCGAGGCACATAACTTACCTGATAACTCACTACAGGCTCTAAAACGCTCAAAGGCTGATCGATTACACATCCTTTAACAAAATGTTGTATATAATCGCATCTTTTTCAGAGAGAAACACTTTCAAAACACCTCTGGGTCGATGTAGTCGAATACTCCCTCCAAATTATGAAATACAGCTAGTCAAGCATAGCCCATTGTGACATCTAAGCCTGGTCATCACTTCAGTGTAGCAGCTGCCAGCCACAAGACTCCTCTCCATCACATGTCCGTTTCTTAGCAGTCTTACGACTTACGGATTGTAAAATTATGGTGAAGGTAGACAACTACGTATTGTGCTAAACTAGAACAAGAGTAACTGCGTGCATTCATTCTATTTGAGATGGCTTTGCACTGAGCTTCAACGATGCTAATAACATCAGATTCCCTCTATATAAATCACTAGCGTTCTTCTTACACTAAGAACATCCTGAGGAAGTAATCAGACTTCAAAACAATTCCGAGAACTTGAAAGATGCAATAAGGCTGTTAGCTAATACTTGTTAGATTTACAAAAAGCCAAGATTAGTTTAGATTTCTCAAAACTGAGCAGTTTTTGCAACAGATAAGTAAATCCAATTTGAACAAAGGAACAATCACTACGCAAAACTTTGTTTACTACAGTAACTGTGGGAATTGATAGTTCTGTGTATAGATTGTAAAACTAGAGATCCTACTTTAACACAAGCTACCAACACCGAACATTGGTAAACAAAATGTGGACGAACTTCAGCTGACAAAGATCCGTTTTAACATTGATACATCATAGCATATCTTGAATTAGGATTAACTGCGGTAAAATAAATAACAGAAGAGTTACTAAGTACTCAAAATTACTAAACTATTTATTCGAATATTATTTTCTATTACCGAGAAATATTAACAGTAAATCATCTTTTACCATAGTGTACCAATAATTTGTGGCACTATACTTGTTAGATCGAAAGTTGAAATTATTCAAGTAGTCAGGAAGTTTATAAAACAAATGGTTACAGTTAATTGAAACGGACGCTGCAGAAAACTCTTACAGCATTCCTAAATGTTATCGTACTTTATCCTGCTCAGTACTGACCTGATTACGATTACATAGCACAGACCTTAAAGGATATAAAACAGAAGATAGATAAAATTCACTGTCACAGTTAAGACTTGTTCGGACATCTGAATATGAAGACATTGGTGACTGCAGTTAGCCTATGCTTTAATGGCCCATTACGGAACACATGTCCCCCTATTCACATAATCCATGAAACAGCAATAAAATAATCAAATAAAACAAGGTAGTAATAAGTACCAGCAATAACTTTACCTCCAAGAACCTAACATCTAGAAACAAAGTGTCTGATGAATCAAAATGTAGTAGCCAAGATAGGGAGATTTGGTTAAAAATGTTACCCAGCACCCAGTTCTAAACACCAAAGCCGGGTACGTTAAACTCCAGAAAAGGTGAAATGCATTTTCGACATTACTGACTGCAACTATCCATCTTTAGTGCAAAACAAATCATCAACAACAATGAAGCATTCGCAAAACAGAACTTATGCCAATAGCGGTCAGTAGATTCGGTTCAAGGAAAGACGAGAAATCCTCAAGCTATGACAATATACAACAGTTAACAATCCAGCCAGCATCCACTTTGGGCGCAATTACCAAATTGCGAAGGTCCCTTAAATGTTTCAGTCACTTCCGTTGGCCGTTTTTATTACAGTAAAAACGGCACATTGTAAGTTTTAGGCAAAAACCTTAAATTTTTACTTCGGACGTAGATAGGGAGATGCATGGTATTTCCCGAAACTTCAAAAGTGTGTATTATAAACACGTGCAGCAGTAAAACATGAACGACACATAAAAATATTACTAAATATGGCCTCTCAGAACTTAGGCGCGCTACCTACACTTGGCGTACTTCGGGCGCATCGCATACAATTTGGGTGCACTTAGGAACTTTTGAACCTTTCGAGTAATAGGTTTTGAAGTCTCAGGAAATGCCGTGTATCTCCCTATCTGCGTCCGAAGTAAAAATTTAAGGTTTTGCCTAGAACTTTTAATGTGCACCCGAAGCAAATGGTGGCTGGAAAGCCACTTAGTGTCCTCAGCAAGGTAAGAATGATCATTTTCCAGTAAACAGTGATGTGCATAATTATATAAGAAAGTATATACACCATCTTGAATGACGAAAGTTCCATAGAAAAGCGGCTGCTACATTCAGAACAGTTTTAATATACAGCGGACTTCGATTAAACACGATCAAGTTTAGATACATTTCTTAAAACACAAAATAATAGCATACTGTCATGCAAAATAAACGAAGATGGAATCGACACAGAATCACACGAGTAAATAATGCAGTTACAACTAACCGACACCTACAGTGCTACAGTGGTAATCGTCTCGCGAATAATACCACGAGTTACCTTCACCAACCAAAAGTGAATAAATGGAAAACTTAGGTTTGCAGACGTTTAAAACAAAGCGAAAATTGGACAGAAGAAAGAGATATTCTATTAATTTTTTAGACATAAGGTTGAAAACTTTTTTCGAAAATAAGGATGGGAGTTCGATTAAGCTGGCGATAACTCTTACATTACATTTATTGAAGCTTCAGTTTTTTCTTCAATTCTTTGACTTCACCACTTTATAGAAGAAGGGTTTAATCTTTAATTACCGTGAGTGAGAAGTGGTTTTTCTTATTAAACTCATTCCACCGCGATCTTGGAGTTCTTCGCTGATGCTTGGGGTGATAACAAAATGTCCCTGTTGAAAAGCAAAAGTTAGACATAAGTTTGTAGGTCACGCTTACGGTTGTGGAGTGCCGCTGTCAGGTCAACTTTTCAAAAATAAGACAATGGAAACATACGTATTAGGTCCAGACTCTCCGCATACAGCCGCTTATACAGGCGGGCAAACGACCCGTTGCGACTGTTTTCCAGAGCTTCAGGAACTGTGACTGTTTTCGAAGAGGGAGGTGGCTTAGTGAACAGAGTTTTCAAGGTAAGGTAGCTCAAACGAGAGTATCAAGACTTTGAACATACTTCGTCAAAACTTTTGGAAGCCTCACGAAGAGACCAAGAGGTATCTAGGACCTACTTGCTCCAGCTTCGCCGCTGTGTGCAGATGACTGGTTTCCAAGTCCTTGATTTCACATATGTCAGGTACTGGAGTCTGTCCATTGCACAATAATGGCATCTGCTATGATCAGTACGTACAGATACTCAAGTGCCGGATTAAAGTTCCGAGCATATGCGATCAGATTCATTTTCATGTCTTGCACATAAGCACGTTTTTCTAAGAATAACCTTCCGTTTTATTACGTCATCGGCAGGTAGTAATACCAAATAATGAATCATATTCGAAAATAATTTTTATTGAGTGGGATGAGGGGCAGACTCAAAACCCCTTTGTTAGAACCTCCGTTCGCCACAGGTTGAAGCTCATATAAAGTCCAATTAATCCCCACTTTTTTTTACATGTCTCATAGAAATTCTTCAGTGCAGACCTGCAGCGTATTTTCAGACCCGAAAATGAACAGCTTCCTAATATCTTGGAAATGCAGTGGCCCTTCAAAAGCTTTACTTTAGCTAGTAAGCAAATCAGCAGTAAGCAGATTATAGTCACAAGCTGCAACCCACTCCTCTGTCACCACAAGAAGATTAGACAGTCACTAAAGATCAGCATGAAAGCCTATATTGTAACCATGTGAGGCCATAATCTGTTACGTGAGTCTGTGCTTCATCACTGATGACCTTATTCAATTCTTTGGTAACTCAACCGAAAGAATCAGTGAGACCATGGCTCAACATAAATTACCCGTAATCCACCCTCAATCTTAGCCTGCTATGGCATCTTTGTAATCTCTCAGAACCCGATTATGACATGAAGGCATAACGAGTAGATGAGCAAGTGTCCTGACAATAGGATCCAAAGAGAAGGATAACAGCTTCGGTTGCAGGTCTCAACAACCTCAAGACTTACTAGGTCTAAAGTTGCCTAGCAGCCACAAACTGGGAAATATTGAACAAAATGTCAGTGTATTACCAGTTTATTGATCACTATTGTCTTCAGATGACATAAGGTATTTCTTGAACCTTCTTCTGACCCGAAAAGAATTAAGACCAGTGCAGAAACTCAGCGCAAAGTACGAGTTAACGAAGTCATTCCTATCTGCAAGAACAACAGCTATAAAACCTAATATATATCCCTGTTACTTTTCTAAGAGTTGGCCCAGACGTCACATCTTGTTTACAAGGTCTGGCTATTTATGTGCGAAGGAGAACATCAAGCAGTTGCTGGTGAGACGCTAGGAGTACAAGTTAATTCATAGAAACTAATTGATTACATGACCAGGCGTTACCTTTTGTGTCACATCCGGTGACTATTGGCGTGATCGGGAAATAAATCCAAAAGGAAATACAGCTGAAAAGTGACCGTGGTAGGGTCCCTTTCAAGCATAATTGAGAACACTTTTGCACTATGTGCTGTGTAATATCAGGGACCACCATTGCATCATGGTGTTGGATCCTGGTAATCGTATGTACACGTATATATTGAACTGGCCTAGCTTTACGGCGAGGTAAACCATAGAATATGGGGAATAATACAAGATATGTACGAAAATATCGTATTCTTAATAAGGCAGCATCCTAGGTTAAACCACCATTTTAGTCGAGTAATTTATACAACTTGTAAGCAGCTTAATAAGCCACAGCAGTCTCTTGGGCATGTGACTTCTTCAAAGTGGTGCTAGCGCCATATATTTTGGAATGAAAAACAGGACACCGAAGGGAAGATTAAGTTACAACATTACTGCTAGTTGTGCATTACGATGACTACAAATATATAGCCTGCTCTAAGAAAGAAAGTGTGCCTGGCACGGTATACAAAACCACCCGAAAAAATTGAAACTCGTCTCGAATATCTGCTACTTGTGTTCCATAAAGCATTCGTCAAGTTCCTCGTTCAGTAGTGATAGTGGATACTGAAGCGCTTCTGTTTCAACAGATATTATCCTAGAGACGGAAGTAACGGATACTGAGCACTCACCGTAACTTCCTGACGCCCGTACGGTGGAACGACTCGCCCAATGGAAGGTAAATACGGTGGACATCCCCTGATCTGTCCTGTCCTTTTCCTGCATTCAGTCTTCAACCCTGTTATTTCTGTTAACTATTTGTTTTCCCAAGAAGTTTATATCATAGCGACATGTCTGCCTAAAACGCTAGACACGAAGCTTTGACACGGATAACACGGTCGTGCACAAAAAGGGACGATAACACCCGAAACAACACACTAGTCTGTACTCGTAGACAAACAGAGGTAGGGCAGAACACCAGACTTCTAAAGAAGTAGCCAACCCATTTTTCTAGAATTCCAGTCGCCATCAGACAGGTGACACAGAGTAGCACTAGCCCGTCACAAACTAGTCCCATCTTGAGCAAGGATCATACCATGCCTGGAAATAGAAGACGACGTAAAAGGCTTCAGAACAAGGCAGCCACAAGCAGTTCGCCTTAATCCGTAGCACCTTACTCATGCAAGGAAGGCTGTATTACGACACCCGATGGCTGCAGTGTTTGCACCAAAGTTGTTTCGGTAGTCGATGAGGCATTTGCCTGCAACCTGTGTCACCGATGGGCTCATTGCCACTGCGACACCAAAGTCCCCTGACAATGCCATAAGCTGATGAAGAGACAACCATGCAAGTGGTTCTGGTACATCTGTCCAGAGTGCAGGAAAATGCCCGCACTGCGCACAGAAAGCCTGAGGGAGATGCTCTCCGCCACGCAAAAGCTACTAGCATCCTCGAATAAAGTAGGGTTAACACCAAAGGATAACACAGAGGGACCTGTGAACAGACCCAGAGCTCCAGCTGCTGGGACTCCCTACCCTCCCTGCAACCTTGTGTCGCCTTTCTCGAGGAAGCCGTGCATCCTGAGATAGGCCACCCCCTTTATGCATGTCCACAAATACTGCCAAAGAGGCTGAAGACACACTCCTTCTCTCGCGACAACCGGACGTTGTTAATGCCCGAAAAATTCGGGCCAGGCCTGACAAGCCTTGGTCAATAAGAGAGGAGGAGAGAAAGTCAGCGGTTGGAAATCCCAACCGAAACAACACTATAGTTGTACATGGGATTCCAGAATTGCCAAGTGACCGCTCGGTTAAAGATCGGTACTTCCACGACGCCCAACAATGACAATGACCCTCGACCAAAGTTGGTCTCCACAGTACACCGGCCAACAGCGTCAGTAGACTGCCAAGGCCAGCGCATCTGAAGACCATACCCACTCCCAGACTACTCGCCGTCCAGCTCGACTCGTATGCCTCCCTCACAGACGTTCTACAGGCATGGTATAATGCGAAAGGTCGCATGGGTGGCTCAATATGTATGTGTGAAAGTAAGCCTAGACCCGCAAGGCAAGAGGAGAGATGGCAACCACCAAGATCTCTGGAGTCAGTGGTCGTCACACAGGCACCGACCAGTGAGTTAGATACATCAAGTAAAGAAGCCACCACTGCCACAGCCCCCACCCAAGCTAAAAACAAAAAACAAAAACGGAACAATGTCAGTCCCATGAGGACCGGCGGGGCTAGACCCAACCACGTAAGCGCTCATCCGGCGAAAATACGCAGCCAGATCTCCCCTCTCACCAGGCACACCCTAATATCTCCGACGAAGGGATGCATGTTACTGGCGTGGAACTCTTTCGCAGGGACAGGGAACATAGAGCAGGAGGGGGAGTGGCTCTCTGCATAAACTCCCGTTTAAAGGTAAGGATGGTTAGCGATACGGCCTTAACCCAGCTCCCAGAATCTATATGGTGCTACTTCACTCTCCACAGTACCAAATATTTGCTCGGAGTCATATATCGGTCCTCCACCAGCTCCCCTACACATAAGGAAATGGTCATCAAGGCTATCTTAACGACCTCCTCTACAAATTACGATTCCGTAGTCATTGCCGGCGACTTCAACACCCCGTCCATCCTCTTCGAGACGGAAGGGAGACGCATCAGATCCTTCAATCAGAAGCTGAAGGATGCAATTAAGACTGCTGGCCTCTCAGAGAAAGTGGGTGATGCTACACGCTGGGGACCTAACGGAAACGCATCGCGCCTTGACTACGTTCTGACGAACGATGAACTTCTCATTGAGGATGTTTGCATCCAACCTCCCCTTGGCCTCAGTGACCACGCTGTAATCACCTTCTCCATGATAACTAGGGAGGCTCTGCAACTGGAGACGCCCAACACCTTCCCTTGCTACAGCAAGGCCAACTATGAGACCATGAGGGACTACCTCATGAATGCATCATGGCCAGTGGACTGGACTCATCTCACAATAGATGAACACTGGTTGGAGGTGAAGAAAATAATCACTGGGGCCATCAGTCACAGTGTACCAGAAGTAACACACAGACAATCAATGAGAACCTCATGGTTAAAGCGTGGGACAGAGAGGCTTATCCGGAGCAAGAAGCAGGCTTGGTTCAAGTGGCGTACATCACGCAGGGAGTCTGACTT